CAAATGATCTTCTTCTTCTTCTTCTTCTTCTTCTTCTTCTTCTTCTTCTTCTTCTTGTGCTTTGTCTGACGGGTCGTTTATGGCAGCAGAGCTAGATATGTGGGAAATGAATGGGAAATAGGGATGAAGTGCACAGTTTTGCTTTGTCATGTTTTTGTGCATATTTTCTTGCCGTCCATCTGCCATGGACTGTTTTCGGGAACATGGTTTTAGAGCCTACCCACGTTAAACCACAAGTACACCGCGCAGGCAAACTTTTGAGGCCAAAATGAGACATTCCTAATAGTCAGGGGACTCACGTGCCCCAGGTTAAAATGAGACATTCCTAAAAGTTAGGGGACTCGCCCCAGGGTGGGCCTGGGGGCTGGCGGGAAAAAAACAATTGTCCCACATGCCGGGGTTGGCACTGGGCTGCATAGGACAAAAAAAACTTCCGCCCAACCCCATCCTGGGTCGAGTCTCCTAACTTTTAGGAATGGCTCATTTTGGCCTCAAAAGTTTTCCTGGGTGGTGTACTTGTGGTTTAAAAGCGTGGACTTCTCTGGGCTAATACTTGAGGAGAGTTCTCTTGTTTGTTTCGAGGTCCTTTTCCATTCAGGTCTAGATGAAGAAGGGCCTTTTTTGAGAATGCTTATACGGTATTGAGGGACAGTTGGTTTAGATGAAAAAGGGCCTTTTTTGAGAATGCTTATATGGTATTGAGGGACAGTTGTCAGCTATCCCACTTATGGGAATAACAGTACCAAGGATAAGTCTGGTGAAGAACATACAAAATGACATTTTGTTATTATTGTGATAATAAAAAGAAAATGAAGAAGATAATGCTGACTAAGATGACGGCCAGGGAGATAGTGAAGCTGGTGGTGATGAAGATAACGCTGATGTGATGGTAATGACTGCCGAATGATGGTGAACTTTGATGGTTGACGGTGCTGGTGCTGGTGCGCATGGCTGTGGAATGGCTATATCTTGTTGGGTTGGAATGGGCAACATGATCAATGGTACAGACGAATGTTCGAGCGTACTACACCCAGTTTGCAGATCAGCAAACACAGAGCTTCATTGACGAGAGGGTAAAGGCATATGTAGGACAGACCGCAGCTGTCTTGCAGCAGGTTGGTGGTGCTTTCCCTTTTACCACAATTCCCACATCGTCGTACAAGCCGCCCCTTCTGCCGCCACCGACTCTACCGATTCCTGGGAGCACATCCAGCGGGACCACTTCCTCCACCAGCACCTCGACAACGCAAGGTATGTGCTGCTTCGACTGTTGTCTTGGAACTCCCCTGACCTCTGTCATTGTCAGGTGGACATATCCTCTTTCCCCTTTGTCAGGTTACTTCGCCCTGCAACTTTCTGCTGCTCTGTGCTTTTTCCAGTTTTCTAGGGAGCTTTGTCTTAGGCACAGTTTTGGCACTTGTCGTGGTCAAAAGCGTGGAGTTCCAGGGTCTGGTGTATATGCATGCTTGCACAAGACAGGTCCATTTTCGAATCAGGTTGGCGACATGAGCTGGATGGTCATAGGTTTGAATCCTGTCGCTTTGAGTCAAAAATCAGAGTTGAATGAGCCTGTTGATGCCTGCTCTGTAAAGGAAGACCAAGTTCGGAGTGTTAGGACCTTTGTGCCCCCCTTTACGTGATTGGAAATACCCGCCGGTCTGCGATTGTTAACTACCGGCACCGGAGACTGTTGGAAAGGCTTGGTGGAGGGTCCTTTAGCTGTTCTGATGGCTGGCCATGTCGGATTCCACGGAAGGAATGGTGGGGGGAAAAATGGTGAGGGATGCGTGTGTGTGTGTGTGTGTGTGTGTGTGTGTGCGCCATCATGTGGGTTTGGTGGTGGTGATTGGAGGGGATGGGCGGGGGAGGGAAGCTACGAGGGTTTTGCCACTCACGTGTTCGTGCTTCATGGTCTTGAGACATTGCACTTTGCTGCCATCAGTTTGGCCATTTTCAATGGTCTCTCTTCCATGTTTGTTCTTGATCCCACTTTGTCTCTCTAGGCTTCTTTCTTCTCAACCTCCTTTGAACTTGTCGATCCGCCCTCCTCGACCCACCTTCTCTGTTTTTACTATCTTGTTTGTAGTCCTAATTATCTGTTATTTGTTGGGGGCCTACTGCCGTTTATACTCCAGTCTGCCTCACACTCTTATCCCTTAGTATAAGGAGACGTATTGTATCTGGTGGGGTGCCTTAAGGTACTTGCTGTACGAGCATTCTGATTTCCAGTGTGGCTGTTGCTTGACGAGAGCAGCACTCTCATCAGTGGAAAGGAATGTGGAAGTGTGTGCCCGTACATCATTGCATGGTGAGTTTTTTCCTTTCCCATGTGTCTTGCTGAAGTAGGACTTCAAGACTTCTCTCTGCAAGGATTCTGTGCCAATCAATGGCCCAGTTGTCCACCTTCTGATGGGAGCGAAAGATGAAATGGTCTGCATTTGTTTTGGGGAGCTTTGTCCAGATGGACCGACTGCGAGTCGTTAAGAATCCCACATGATGGGCAGGGCCTTGGTCCCGCTGTCCGTGCGCGACACTGATTGGAATCGTCATATCCGTGCATTCAAAGTCAGGATGACAGTGCTTTTGTCCGTCGCTAGGTGGGTGGGATGGTTGGATGGCCTCAGTCGCTGCCATCAGGGGTAAGGTGAATTGTGCACGTCCTTGAGTGATGATTAGCGTAAGAGAAAGTGTGTTCCCCTGCCCGCCTTCCCCTCGACATTTTCTCCCCTTACGGTATCCGCTCTTCAAACCTCTTGTGAATCTGTTCATCCCTTTCTCAACTGCGTCCTGCACCCTCCCCCCCTTTTTGGGTCTGAGAAAAAACCTGGACTCCTGATGATAAGCTGGCAGAGTGGATCTCTGCAGGTCTTAATTCTTAGTTTTTCCAGATTGAGTGTCAGGAAAAGTCTGGCCAGATGGCGGGGCGAGCTCGTGGGAAAGAAAGCAGAATCTAAGTCTGTTGATTTAGTTACTTCCGTCACAGGTCCGTAAATGTAGTTGTTAGTGAGGATAGCGAAAAAGGAAAGGGAGAAATAGGGAAACAAATGTGTGGCCAGGGTCTGGTGGTGGAATTTGGCACTTTATTCGCCATTAGCGCATCCAGAAATGAATTTGACCTGTAGGTTTCTGGATATTGAAGCCCCGAGATTTTGCCTATCCAATAGTAAAATCCTGCAAATAGATCGAATACGTCTCCCATAGAAAGCACGTAATGAAAGTGTGTTACTACGTAACGAGTGTCATGTAGAGCAATGTCAAGCCCAGAATTAGCTATAATACAATTCCAGTAGGTCCTCTCTCCTATGGTAAGGGAGAAGGAGATGAATCCCACAGCGAATAACATAGGTGTTTTTAATTGTATTGAATCTCCCGACATAGTGGCGATCCAACTAAATATCTTGATTCCAGTTGGCTAAAAACGGACTTACATGGTACTGCGTTCGATGGCAGAAACAGTCTCTGGAGTCTATATATGTGATAATAAGCTCAGAGTAGAACCTGGAAACAGAGGTGAGCTTGGAAGCAAAAAGGGTACAGGCAGATAACGGAGAGCAGAAAGCGAATCTGCATGGTTCGGAAAGGCAAGAAAGGAATGGCAGTGAATGGCAGGTGATGTGGGTAGACAATCAACCATTGATAGGGGCATGAAACAATAAAGGGATGATAGTGGAGCCCTGTAGGTGTTTTGTAATCAGCTCTGACAATCGGCACGTGTTTGATCTCCTTGTTCAAAACAGGAACGATTACTCCGCCAACCTTTCGGCCTCCTACATCAACAACTCCAATACCGACCATCCGCGCGCCAGTGTTGCAACCACCACGGCAACCTGCATCGTCAGCGGCTCCTCCCTTGTTGCGGCCGCCTACTTCATCGATAGGCACAGCTGGACTGGTGGGTCCGCCACCAAATGCAAATGGGCCTCTGAGCATCAGTCAGCCACAGAACTCTACGTCATCGAATCTTCAAGGGATGTATCGGATGACTCTGCCGCAGCTACCTACACCTGCACAACCATTGCAGCAACCACAGTCACTTGGATCGCAACCATCGACACAGCAGTCGCAGCAGCAGCAAACACTCCCACAGGACCTTGCACAATCACATCCACCTTCACAGCAGCGGCCGAGCACTCTCTTGCCTGGTAGTTTGCAATCATCACCAGGAAATGGATATGCAGGTGGCCCCAGTCAGTCCCAGAGGGTTGGGGTTGGTCCGATGGCTGCCCCGCAAGCGGCCGCAGGAAGCACGTATGGTGGTGGCGGTGGTGGAGGCATTGGGACGCCTGCAGCGACAAGTGGTCCATATGGCAGTTACTCCATGTCTCCAAGCATTCGCAGCTCAGTCCCTGGTGCATCCCTGAGCAGCGGCGGCACTCCATCCCTTGGGCCTTCAATGGTGGGGCCTCTGGGTCCGCCAGCATCATCCCAGCCATCGACAGTGTACAGTTACAACGCTGCTGGTGTTGGAATGGGGCGATCAATGAACAACCCTGGAGGTGCGGTGCCAACTATGAATGGCAGTGCAGAATCTGCATCTGGACAAGCTTCAAGTCGGGTACCCGGGGGAGGTGTGCCGATTGGGCCATCGCCATATATGGGCACCTATGGTGTGTCTGTCGCGGGAGGGTACCGGACAGGGATGTCATGAAGAGAGGCAGTCCGTGGTTTGGTATCGTCTCTCTTCCTTTGGCCACTTTCCTCCTCCCCTGCACTTTGCAACCTTTGTATTTTGGTCTCACCCTTTGCCCTCAGCTCCTGTCGTCTTGGTGGTTTAGATAAACGCGTCGAAGTACCCATCTGTAGAGGTGAAGGCACCTGTGTCACTGCTGTGTGGGCATTCCGCCGCGCAACGACTCCAGACAAGGTAAACAACTGTCATGGGTAAGGAATCTTGATCCTTGGCTTTTAACCCCAAGCATGCCAAATGGGGTGCCATTTGGCAAATGTCCCTCTCAGACCTCAAAGGCAAGCTCACGGTACGTTCATTTTGCCACCAGCTGGCTTGTACCCTACTCTACCTTGATCGGTAAGTTCTTCTCATTCTCATTCACATTCATTCACAACAAAGTGGAATGCAGAGCAGCCTGTGATTGTCCATTCCTTTTGGTGAGCAGCTTCGGCAAGATGCCTGCGGTCAGCACTGTAGCTTCAGGTATGGTGCCGTGCTTGGTGAGTCTCGTGGCACGTTGTTTTCACATAGTGTGATGTCATGTATGGTGGTAAGGTTGATGATGGCATGACATCAGGTATCAGGTATTGAAAGGGCAGGTACTCATTCACATTCTCTTTTGTGTCCGGTTGGGATTGATTTGATGCCAGAGTGTGATTGAAAAGGCCCATGGCATAGGATGTCCGTGTATGGCTCTTCTCTCTTGAGCGTGATTGCTGCCAATGTTTCCTTTCTTTTGTCTGTGCGCTTCTGGCTCAAGCTCATCCCCCGCCTGTGGACTGAGTTGGTCCTAATCGTCCGTCGTTGTGTGTGTGAGTGAGCGGTCAGAAATGTTCACTGCTTGCGGCATGTCGGAGGTATTCTTTTCTTTCCACGACAATTGGTACTGGTGAAGTCGCAAATTGATACCGTCTTGTCCGTTGCTAGCTAGCAGTGTGTTTATGGTGGCCGTCTTGTATGTCATGGTCAGTCGATACGTGACACGAGTGTAGTGGTGGTAGTCATGGATCTTCCTGGACCATCCTCCAGACCGGCCAAGGCGGTGATCTGTAACGATAAGGTGAGAAGAGGGGTCGTTATCAGTTTGTTTGATGTTTGTCTCTGACGGATATCATAACAGAGGCAACACAAAGAAGAGTGGCACACATTCATCAGCAAGGTAAATGATGCTTATGGAAGTTGGACTCTTCACTTACCGTCAGTCACCATGGTAAGTCGAAGGTAAATGATGGTGACGGAACTTGAACTCTTCCTAGGAATGATGCCTTGGTCTTCTTCATGGGTAAAGGTCAATCAAGGGTAAAAGGTGAACGATCATGATGGGTCTTCTTCATGGGTAAGGTAAATCAAGGGTAAAAGGTGAACGATCACGACGGAAACACAGGTTTGTGCTCTGTTCTTCACTAGCCAAGGGAAATAGGATATAGCAAACATCTTGCATTGTCAGGGACATTCTGGTGGGAGGCGGAGGCGGAGGCGGAGGCGGACAGAAGATTACGGACACACAGGTTTGTGCTCTGCCACTCGTTAAGCTACGTGATATCTTGTGCCCATCTCGCTTAGGGAACAGAATACCATAATCATCTTCAAAGGGAAGGTAAGTGGTGATGCTCTGCACATTCAGGTTTGTGGAGTTGCTAGCCTTCACTATGAGGGAAGGCAAATAGCGCTTTGTCAGAAGTCAAAGGGGATCAGGCACTTCAAAAATGGTCCGCGTCTCCACATGATGGAGACAGAGAGAAAGGTGGTGGACACAGGTTTATGCTGTGGAGCTGAATAGAGCCACATAGTTGTTGAGAAAGCTTTTTCGTGTATTCTACGAGGCAACAGAAGACGTCAAACAACTCGAGGGAAAGGTAAATAGTTGTGGATGGTGATGGAAGGTCAAGGACACACAGGGTTGTGCTAGATCTACTGCTTCATATCAGCCCAAGCAAGCCTCTTGTCAATCGTCTGGCACCACACGAGCTTGTATTTGTCGACAGCAGAGACTTATCCAACATGAGTCTCATCGGCAGCAGAGACTTGTCCAACACGAGTCTCATTGGCGGCAACATTGGCATCCTCTTGTTCGTGTAACGAGTTGCTCAGAAGCAGAACTCAAACTTGACCAGCTGCCTTTCACAGGTTAAGGTAGGTGGATGGTGTGAGTACTTGGTGGGGAGTATAGAACCGAAGTGCATGCGTGTGTTTGTTTGTTTGTTTGTTTGAGAGAGAGAGAGAGAGAGAGAGAGAGAGAGAGAGAGAGAGAGAGAGAGGTGAACTGCAGGGTTTATGTTTCTGTGAATCATTGTGAAGGAGGTGGAAGTTCAACTCGGAATGCTTCGCAAAATAGTCTTTAGTGTTGCTCTGGGTCACCAATTGTGGGGTAATCATTCCAGATCGTGTGTATGGTATGCCATTTCATTTCACTGTAACTTGATTCTTGACAAGGAAATCGTACCCCCCCCCTTTCAACCCTCCTTGACCACGAAACGGACAAAACTGAATCCGTTTTTCGGTCTTGATTGCCCTGCTGGCGGTCTTTGAACAGGAGCATTTTAGTATGTATGTTCATGTTGTCTTTTCAATATTGTCCGACGGCATGGTAATGAACGGGAATGACGTATAACCTGATGTTTTGTTTTCTTGTTCGATGGGCTCCTGCCTTCATTTCATCTGCCTGCTATGTTCTCCTAGCCCATCCCTCCGATTGACTCATGTTCTTGAAGCTTTTACAGTTACATGGTCCTACGTGTTTGTGTTTGTCGCTTGGGAGGAGCTATTCCCGAGCTCGATGTTGCACAGTTGCACCGAATGCACAGCCTTGCCTCCATGGGAGGCGAGGGCGAACTGAAGAACTGGGATTTTGGGAGTATGATGTTGGAATCAGTTGGATGCTTGCATGTAGCATCCGGTGACGTACCGAATGCGTTGTATTGTTCGGCAGAACGTGTAGTGAACTGCAGGAAATATCACCTTCAGTACCCTTTGAAAAAAGTGGTTGTATAGTCAAAATACAAAATTGTTATTTCAAAGTCGTGGTCTCCCTCAACTAACAGAAAAAGGAAGTGGTTCCGTCCCGTCCAAGTTTGGCCATCGAACTTCAGTGTTCGAACCAATTCCATGTTTCCTCTCGTCGAAGAGTCGTCCATAGTGACACGTCGAGTGGCGAACAATCTGGCGTGTGAAGTTTTAATGGTGGTGGTACGGAGCCGAGCGAGGCAAGGATGCATCATCCAATCCGGTTAACTATGGACTTCAGGCAAAGCTAATGTCCCTCCACTTCCGATGTCCAGCCAGGCTGAGTGTCCTATACCCTATACCCGATGGCAGCAGGTGGGTGGGCCCTGAAACCACCCATGAGCATTACATGTGAAAGGCACAGTAAATGGCGAGGTAAAAGAAGAAATCACAGATAAAGTCTGATAAACTTGAAACTTGAAAATCACCGAATGGAAGGACGAGAAGAAAGAACTTCTCAGAAAAAGGCGAAAGAACTGTTTGACAAAAAAAAAAAAAAAAGATGGTCACCCATGAGCTGTTAATGAACAAACCTAAGCTCGAACCCTGATGGAATCAGATGCATAAAAGTAACTTTGGATTGCGTGGGGCTGGTCAGTTGGATGGTCGTACTTTCAAGGCTGTTGCCACGTTTTTTTTGTTATAACTTTTGTTTATGTGTTTGATGTGGTCTGCTATTTTATTTGTTTGTTTTGCAAAGTGAGCTGTGTGCAAAGTGTGCAAAACAATACGCTCTTTTAGTTGATCGATACCTGGCATGCTGTGTGTCTCTAGTGTCTGCACAAGCGTACAAGGAGTGTATTTTCTGGCCGTGACAGACCTACCTTTGTTTCGCGGGTGTTTTGCGGGCTTATGGTAGGGTGTGAACCTGCAGCCTGCAGTTTGTAGAAGTTTCCATCTGGTGTGGGTGAGTGATAGATAGTCTGCTTTGTTTTTCCGCACAGGTACCTTGAGGGCAGTGGTCGGTGGTCCCCACCACCTCAGGGCGTCAGTTGTTGGGTAATCGATGATTCTTAACTGCAACCAAGGTTAAGGTGGATTATCACATACAGTATCATCGTTGGTTAGGCGACCTGTAGAGTATAATGGAGGCTTCAGCCCCCCTCATGAGTCGGTGAGACTCCGATGAAACAGTTTGTCACAGCTCCTCGTTTGTTGTTCTCTTATCCCTATCTAGTATCTGCCCATGGTCCACCGGGCAGTTCTCTATGACAATATGGATATACAGTGTGTCACAAGTTCTCACAACGCTTCGTTTGTTGTCCTCTTTTCCCTCTCTGCCTATGGTATACCGGGCAGTTCTGTTTGATGATATATGTTACATCGTATGCATTTGTATGTTGTTTTGCAAAAAGTGACCTTTTGCTTTGCAAAGTGTGCTGTTTGAGATGATGTGACTGTACATATACATATGGCTTCAGGGAAGTTGTGTGCCCAGTCTGTCTAGTGAATCTGGTCATTGCGCAGCTTGAGGTGTATCATATATTTCTGTGTGCAGTTCCACACAGTGCATTTCATTCTCTGAGTTTTTTTTTTTTTTTTTTTTTTTTTTTTTTTTTTTTTTTTTTTTTTTTTTTTTTTTTTTTTCCCCCCCCCCCCCCCCCCCCCCAAAGTGTGTCGTTTGATGGCCCTTCTTTTCTAAGCAGGGGTACAATTTAGGGTTTTTGCCCATCCTTCGAGGTACGCTGTCCTTTTCTCGTTCGTTTGCCCTCTACTGTTGCTGGGAGGGCTTAGGGGATTTCGCCGTGTAAATGACACGTAGCGCACAGTAATTTCGCTTCAAGTTGAAATCATGGTGGAACGTATTGGCATCAGCATTTTGGTCGGAATGCTGTGATGGGTTGTGAAGGGAGGTATCGAAGTGCGTTATGTAGTTGGGAGGCATGATGATGATGATGATTATGACGGTAATAAAATAAAATACTAATAATGATAATGATTATAATGATGATTACCATGAGAATGATAAAAATGACGATGATCATAGTCATGAAGAAGGTACGACAAAAAAAGCAATATAAGTAATCGAGTACAATGTTGGAAGTATCGAAAGTCATTATGAAGATGAAGTTGAAGGCACGATAATGATGACGATGGTGATGATGATTGTAATGACGATGCTGATGGATAGTGATGATGATGATGATGATGATGATGATGATGATGATAGCGATGACGATGATAATTGTGAAGATAATTGAGAGCGACTGAGAAGTTAAGAAATTATGACCAGTATATAGATTGTCCTGACGAGTCAGTCGGTGAAACTCCGATGAAACAGTTTGTCACAGCCCCTCGTTTGTTGTCCTCTTCTCCCTCCCTCTCTGCCTACTACAGTTTACCGGGCAGCTCTGTTTGACGATATATAGAGTCTGCTTTGATTTTTGTGACAGGTACCTTGAGGGCAGTGGTTGGTGGTCCCCACCCCCTCAGGGTATCAGTTGTCGGGCTGTTGGTGATACTTAACCGCAACCGGGGTTAAGGTGGATTATCACTTACAGTGTAATCAGTTAGGGGATTCTGCAGACTGTATAGGAGGGTTCAGCCTCCTGATGAGTCGGTGAAACTCCGACGAAGCAGTTTGTCACAGCCCCTCGTTTGTTGTTCTCTTGTCCCTCTGTGCGTACGGTTTACTGGGCAGGTCGGTTTGTCGATATATAGAGTAAAGTGAGTACAGTGGTTGATGATTGAAATCGATGATGAGGGGAGACTTTGAAATGATGACCGTTAATTTGCAGATGGAGGTCGTCGATGATGAACTGATTATCGAAATCGCGGATGAGGCCAAATTGAGGGCAAAGCTAGAAGTTATGATAGTCAATTTGCAGATTGAGATCGGCCATGAATTTATGTCCCCCCCCCGACGCGTAGTTGACGATTTCCGGAAGTCTTCGTCAACGTGTTGTTTTCTGCGATTGTTTTCTGCGATCGAGAAGATCGAAAGAGAGAGCCATATTTGTGGAGTGACACCGTCTTCTCCCAAAAACAACGCACCCTCGACATGACGGCATACACCCTCATTATGAATGTATAAGAGCTATCTTGCCGGTTAGATGCAGTCTGATGAGGGTGCATTTTGTTCGAGTGGAGGTGGTAGTCTTGTTGAAGGATCACCATCAAAGATTCTGAGATTGTACTGTGTCGTCCTTTCAGCTTCGATCTTGGTATCCCTTGTGCGCCTCCCCCAGCCGGCCTAGGTGGGGGCCGTACATTCATTCACAACTTACATGTACGGTATTTATTAATGCACGACTTAATTGAAGGATCACCATCGAATATTCTGAGCTTGTCATGTGTCGTCCTTTCGGCTTCGATCTTCATATCCCTTGTGCGCCCCCGGCCGGCCTACGTTGGGGCCGTACATCCATTCACAACTTACGTGTACGGTATATATTAATGCACGGCTTAATTACATGTACGGTGCACGCCTCAGGGTATCAGTTGTCGTGCAGTCGTTGATGCTTAACCATAACCAGGGTTAAGGTGGATTAACACTTACAGTGTAATCAGTTGGGGGATTGTTGACTGTTGAGGGTTCAGCCTCCTGATGAGTCGGTGAAACTCCGACGAAACAGTTTTTCACAGCCCCTCGTTTGTTGTCCTCTTCTCCCTCTCTGCCTACAGTTTACCGGGGAGCTCTGTTTATTGACACATACGGTGTATATTAATGCACGACTTCATGAGTCGGTGAAACTCTGACGGAAGTCTATCACACCCCTTGTTTGTTGTCCTGTTCTCCCTCTTTGCCTGCGGTTCGCCTGGCAGTTCTTGCTAACTTGTTCACGGTAGACCGGACTCGTTATTCTCCTACAGTAATTGAGTTTGTTTCAAACACCCTTGCCTCCGTGTAGGTGGAAGGCCATGGCTCTTGCTACCATACCTTAACTTCAAGTTCATGTCTAATTTGAAGTTTATTCCTCTTTGTACAACAAGAGGCTCGCCACACAGGCTGGCTGTCAGAAAAAGTTTGAAAGTCGGCCGTCGACAGTTTACCCCCCCTTCACAACACAGGCTGTCGAGGGGTAAGGTTTTTGGTCATGGCCAAATGGACTCCGCCTTTCCACAGCGCACGGCCGTCATGGAACGGAACAGTCCCTGACAATGCAAATTCTAACCCAATTCTCGAAAGGCAGGTGGGGCACTTCCGAATTTCCGTCTCCTTCAGGCGGGAGGAAACGAATGGGGGAGGGTGGCTGTCGAGCGTACCATTCAGACACCTGTTGGAAATGTTTTTGAGCCGCAATTCTTCGAAAGTCTGTGTGGCGATGCAAAATTGTTGAAAACCTGGTTTTCGACAGCCTGTGTGGCGAGCCTCCAAGAAAGTGAGATCTGGAGGTTAGTGTTTTCTGGGTGTCTGGAGAGAGAGGGGGGGGGGGGGTTGATTTGAGAGCACAATTTTCTTGTGTGCAAAGGACGCGACGCCAACCAGCCTCTGGAGGCGTCTTTTTCGTGCTGTGGACGAGAAAGAAAAAAAGTTAAGAAAAACACAATCGCTATTATTAGTTTTAAGTAGATATTTCAAGAACGGACACGTTAATGTGACGGGTTTGAAGTAAAAGTTTGTAAAATCATATTAATTAATAAGAATGGAGACGTTTTCGATATT